GCTGAACTTGGACCAGTTGTTCAGAGATGCATGGCCTTATTCTGCCTCAGTGTTTGTATTGCAAACCGGTGATAGTGTTTCAAGTGTAGTGGCAGTATAAAGAATTGTGTAAGGACTTTAAGATATTCATGGATAACAAAAGCAGGAAGTTTTGTAGGCACTGTGGTACAGGCTATTATTTTAACACCACTGTTGTAATTGCAGGGATTATTGTGATTGATATAAGTATGGTGTAGATATTTTAATGATTTTTGTTAAAAAGCTAGGCTCCACCCTGTTCTGCTCTATTTTTTTCCTTCACTTTTGGAGGGGCATGTTAAATAATGACTTTGCAGTGACAGCAAGTAATGGATTACGGAAGTGTGACAGGGGCTGGGAAGAGAATTAAGCATGCCAGTTATGACAGATGGGCCTTCCAGCCTCATCCAGGGGTTGATATGTGTCAGAGCCTCGTTTGGTCTAAATATTTGATACAAATTTCATTCCATGAATTGCAGATGACTTGGGCTTAATTCACAGTTATTTAAAAAACCTAGCGCTCTTCAGTCTTTCAGAGTCGCTGTATGCAAAACAAAATAAAGGAATCTTGGGCTGTTCACTTGGTAGAATCTCCTCTTCTGTTGTCTTGCATTTTTTGTTTCCACGCTCATGGCTCATCTATGGAAAAAAAGCAGCTTATGAACAATTGGGCTCTAATTTCAGCTTGAAATAGAGATCTGCTTATTTCAGGAAGTATTATCTACTTTTCTTGCTCCTGAAGAAATAAAATAAAATCAAGGAGTCGATCAGTTATTAAATTCACTGGGCGATACTTTTTTGACTGCCAGCCTCTGTGTTTAGAGTACGAATGAATTGTGCAGGGAATTAAAAGAGGTGCTAGAAGCAGATTTGTCACAGATTTGACACAGGATGAGAGAGTTTATTATGTAAGAGTCAAATAAAAGTAAAATACATAGATTTCTAATCTGCTTTTCTCTCTTTTTCTAAAGTGCCCAACATCAGTCTGGATGTTTTGAAGCCCTCTTTTGTAGAAATTCTCCTAGAATCCCACATGGTTATGATCCGGGTAGGAAAGCATTAATTCTAGATTATCATTTTCTTCCTCCTCTCTTTCATTAAAAAGAGATATAATTTCTGAGATTTTGGGGTGATGGCTGAAATGTAGGGCAAGACTTATATGCCACAGCAACCTACGTGGATTTGTACTTAAAGAAAGGGATGTTCTTACAGTTAAAACTCGAAAAGTTTGAAAGCCGTGGGCTTGATCCCTGCCTCTACTGCTAATATGATGCTCCCTTCTTTAAGGAAGAGTTTGGATTTTTTTCATACCCTGCTGGAAGGTTGATTTAAAAGTTAAGTTAAAAGAATGAGACAGTTAAATGAGTGAGGCAAGAAGATAGTACTGTGGTCAGAATCACAAAACCAGGCACTGAAGAGAACAATAAATGTTTGAGCTGAAAACAGAAAACGCCTGTTAATTTTTAAAGTTCATTGAGATGCTGTGTGCTCTGCTTTCCTCTTCCCTATTTCTTCCTGAGGATACTTGCAAAAGAGCTGGATTTCATATTTTCGAGGTGGACTGCTCTTGTAGTCCTTCCACATGATCATTCTCTGTGATCTTGGCCACTTCCCTTCTGCTTTGAGCTTCTCGCTCCTTCAGCTGAAGAATGGGAAAGTTACCATTTGGAGGGGGGAATCTAAGGTTTTGTTTGTTCCTTCTGTAAACCTCAAATTCTTGAAAGAAAGAAGGTAGTCAAGCAAATCATTATTAAGGCTAATAATTTCCATGGCAACCAGTGCTAATGTTGTTTCAGGTAGGAAAGTACCTACGTGAGTTTCCATGGAAGTAATCTTTCTGAAGCTTTTATTTGAGTGGAGGGAAACCTGTTGAAGTAGTCAGTCCCTTAATGAAGAAAGATCTTGTTTAAGCAACATGTGTCCTTAGAAAAGCTGAAGAAGAGAAATGAGAGAATGATGTCTCTAATGGTAGCCAAGTAACTTTTTCACTTGCTTAGTAATATTAAATATTCATTGTCCACAGTGTGGCAGTCTCCAGAAGTTGATCTGTTCATGTATTCAGAAAATAGCTTTTATTCAGGAAGAGTATTTCTGTATGTCTGTGTACCCAGACATGTCTGGGCAGGCCTTGCAGCGTAACTGCCCAGTCATTTCAATTTTTTTTGACTTGTCTATAGGGAAACAGTGGCCTCAAACCAAAGGACAATGAAGTTACATCCAAACCTTGGCACTGGCCCATCAACTACCAGGTATGTTGATCAATCCATCTTCCTTTCTGTTTCTGAGGGCTTTTCACAGAATCACAGAATGGTTGAGGATGGAAGGGACCTCTGGAGATTATTTAGTCCAACCCCCCTGCTCAAGCCAGGTCACCTAGAGCAGGTTGCCCAGAACTGCGACCAGACGCCTTTTGCACATCTCCAAGGATGGAGACTCCACAATCTCTCTGGTTCCAGTGATCCCTCACCTTCACAGAGCCTCTTGTCCTATCACTGAGAAGAATCTGGCTCCATCTTCTTGTCTTTTCATAGCTTTTCTTAAACTGAAAGTGATGTCAGCTTTATTTTGTAATACCTGAGCTGCATGGAAAGGAATTTGTCTCACCTTTGACCCTGTTGAAGATGGTTGTAAACTGGATTGATGCCCACCCATTTTACTGACTTCTGGTCTCTCTCCTCAGGGCCTGCGTTTTTCTGGTGTCAATGAGACAGATTATCGGGTTTATTTGCTGGGAAACCCGGTAAGTTGAGGAGGGACATTCCAATCCATTGTCTTTAGCAAATTTTACATAGTGATTCTCTCCTTACTTTTGGACTGCCTTTCTCTTTGTGCTCTTATGCGTGCATGTAGCTTTTCATTCCCGCTGACATGCTCACTCCCATTTCCAGCCCTGCCCAAAGTCTCAAATCTTTCTTTTTTCCTACTTAGGTGATTTGGTGGCTAAATTTGGTCTCTATTGGATTGTATCTTCTGATAGCAATTTCCACCACAGTGGCCCTGAAGAGAGGTGTCCAGCTGACATCTCAACTCAAAGGTGAGGCCAGTCTTCCTATCCTTCCTGCACTTTAGAATCCCTTGTTATAACATCCTGGTTTCCTGATACAGGAAAGCTCTTCTTAGCATTTGTGTATTATAAATCTCGTTATATGTTGTATTAAAGCCTCAGGGCATTGAACAAAACACACTCAAGGCAGCTGTATATACAAAAAGCTAAGGTAATTAGTACTATGAAAGTGCACTACCAAATGAAGTGACTGTCAGGAAAAGATTTCCTACTAGAAAGAATCAGTCTGATTAGCAAATCTGGCTTCCTGCATAGCAGAGACCGTATCTGATGAATTGCCAAATTTCTTAAGCCTGTAAGACTTCATCAGAAATCCTCAAGTGACCAAGGGCCCTGAGACACATGCTTAGAAAGCTGAAAAGGAGAAGAGCTCTAGGAGTGACTCACAGGTGGGAGATGTGACCTGTGGCTGCCAAAAGTCTAGCCAATCCTTTGCTGGAGAGCATTGAGCTGGACTGCTGAGGGTGGCAGCCGAAGATGATCCAAAAATGAAAGTCCCAGTAGGGTCTTGCTGACTTGCTTCCTCCAGGAGACAAGATTAGTCAGTAGTAGCTCATGTGCCAGCTCTGCTCTGCAGTTGATCACCCAGTCTAGCATGGGAACTGTTCATGAACTGCTCAAGAGCCAAGATGTTGGCTGCAATTGCTGTCAGTTACATTGATTACTGCAGTTCAATGATGACCAGATGTGTATCTGTTGGAAAGACTATATTTGATCTGAATACATCAGTAGGAGAAGGCAACAGAACGTATGTCAGGGAAACCTTCCTGATGCAGAGATCTACTGGTCCCAGGGCTTTTACCTTTTTCTGATTTGCAGACTTTTTGAGATTTTTTTTTCTAATGATGATATTGTCCCACATGGGCTACTGACAAAAGGTTTACTTTTCGTAAATGCCTTTTGCAGATGCCTTGGCAGTGTGTGGGAGGCAGGACTGTGTGCACCAAGGGTGGAAAAACACTGAGCTAGGTTATGGAGCAATCTCCTCCAGGAAAAGAGTGGGAGCTTCATATCTCAAGTAGTTTAAAAGTGAACAGGATAGGTGTCTAACAAAAATCCTGCAAAGAGCTACCTATATTGGCTGTAAAGGAGATAGACCAATTGGATCAATGCCGTGCTTTCGAGGTCTGCATATGCACTGTATTTTCATGTTATGCGTGCTCTTTTGAAATGGGAAGTGTTTCCTGATGATACTTATGCAAAGCTGATGAAATAGCAGATAGAAGGGATGCAATACTCCTTTATTGTCTTCAGTGCCTGGGTCAGAGGGCTTTTCACAAGCCCTAATAAATCATACTTTGACCATTCCAGTTTACCTCAATGGTTGCTTCGTTTTGTAGCAACCATTGCTACGATGGTTGCTACATTGTAAGGGAAATGAGTTCTAAAATGTGAAGTGAAACTATTCAGTAAACGCAGTGAGTTATAAGCTAAGCTGCAGGCAGACACCAGAGCTCTCAGTCCCTTTCCCAGGCTCTGAAGAGTAGGCAACGTTCCTTTCCAGGGAAGGGTGACAAAGTGGTCATCTGGATGACTCTTAGTCTCATTGCAGAGAAAACTGAAAAACATCAGAGCCTGGAATGGCCTATTGAGGCTAATCTACATCCAGAGAAGCTGTAAGCTTGGTCTTAACATTGAGCATGGTCAACCCCTTGGTAATCCCTCAAGACTTACGTCTTGGTTTATCTTTTCTGGTAATTGTTCCCCTGAGAAGTATTTGTATGTGCATAAAAAATACAGCTGGGATATTGTAGAAGCTTGGAATAATTTCAGACCTATAGACAACTTCCTGCAAAGATCATTCTTGTTGATTTTACTGTCATTGACATGCTACTTACTGTGTTAAGGCTTGCAAAGAGAAACTGGAGTTGAGGCTTTCTCTGCTGAAGCATGTTTGTTTTTGTTCCAGAACTGTCCCAAGTCTTGCTACGTGGCGGAGGGCAGATTACACTGGGCTGGCTCCTTCATTATCTCCCTTTCTTTATGATGGGCCGAGTTCTCTACTTTCACCACTACTTCCCTGCCATGCTTTTTTCCAGCATGTTGACAGGTAAATACTAGAGACTGGGGAAGAAGAGGCGGGGAAACAGGTGAAAGTCTGTTAAATGTAACATTTTCAGACCATGCTGTAAATTTTTATGATAGGTTTTCTGCTTGCTTGAGCATAGGGCTTGAAAACATTTGCCAGTTCAAAATGTTTTTCACAAAACTGCTTGAGATGCCAAATAGTCTACCCAAGAGGCAGTATGTCTAGTGGTTAGGGCATTTGAATTGAGAGATTTGATTCCTATTCTCTGCTGTGTCACTGTCCTTATATATAGTTTTATACAAGCTATTTCCCTTCTTTGTTTGCTGCCCCCACTTTTCTGTCTTGTCTGTTCATACTTCAGTCTTGGCAGCTTTTCCTGTGATTTTTGTACCAGCTTAGCGTGCTGGGTCACACTCCTCTTTCCCATTTGTTCAGATGAGAAGGTGGGGAAAAAGAACTTTCTGCTGACAGAAAATGTACTGTATAGCTCTGAAGGTTTACAAGGTAAATTTAATTCAAAAGAGGAGGAGGCCTGCTGGTCTCAACAGAGCTTTATCAGCTCTGTCTATGGCTGAATGTAGCAGCTCTGTTCTTTGGCCTCTGCATTGTTCCTGATTTCTGCCTCATTCTTCTCCTAGGAATCACCTGGGACACATTACTGAAATTCTGTACTGGGTTCCTGTCATCCAGCACTACAGCTAGAAAAGCATATGGAGGGGGAATTCTGGTACTGGTTCTGATTATCATGTACAGGTGAGTGCTGAAAGCTCAGCTTTCCTGAAAGTATAACATCCACTGTCTCAGTGGAACCCTTATTGCCTGTTAATTATTCTTAGCCTTTGCCTCTGCCTCTCCTTCTCTGCTGAACTTTTCAGACATCATCAAGTCTGCAAGCACCCTAAACACTTAAATTTTGTTGCATCTAGCATTTGTGTCCCAGTAATGGACTTCTAAACAACTATTACAGGGATCTCATTCTTTCACGCCACTACTGAGCGTGAACACTTTATTGGCCTCTGAACCCACAGTTCAGTGGTTTCTGATTCTAGTCCCCATGCTAGATGATGTCAGATCCCTCAAATATAGATGAACAGTTGTAGGTTTCCCCTGCTGACTCCACTCCAAAACTGTTGCTTTCTAAGAGGAAAAGTGCATGTGCCATAAAGCTGCACACCATGTATATTGGGTTCAGTGGAGATTAGAAGGTCCCTAGTGAAGCTTATAGCAGCCTAAAAACAAAGTTTCCATAGGTCACCTCTGTGGACTAATCTTCTGCAATGTTCTTGAGACAGAACACTGCAGTTAGTCAGTCCCTGATAGGTATTTGGAATCTCTCCACAGCTTCTACCTCTTCCATCCTCTGTCCTATGGGATGATAGGACCTATGGCCTCGGACCCGAGCAGCCCCATGGCAGGGCTCCGGTGGATGGACTCCTGGGAGTTCTAGAGCCAGCAAAGGGAGCTTGGAAGTAGAGACTGAGAAATGTGAGAGCTGCTGCCTGTCAGGCTGATAGTGGGGCTTTGGAGACATGTGACTATAATATGCCTTCTCTGGAGAACTCTGGATCTAGTAGCCCTGTTGCTTTGGCATTTGTTTGCATTGGCTGCTTTGGAAGATGCAGAGGATGACCATCTGATGAAGACTCAATTCATGAATCTTTTAAGTTATGTTCCTGGGCAACCGGATGCTTACATCTCAGTTCTTATGAGCAATATATCAGTCAAACAGCAGTGGTGTTCCAGTAGTGAGACCAGTACAAGTCATGGGGTATGTGTGGTCTCACATTCACATGTGTGGATGTGTGTGTGTGTCTTCTTTCTTGTAATCCAAGTACCATTGCAGTTCGGGAGCCAGAGAGTGTCTGAGACATGAGGATTTTTTAATCATATTTAACAGCCTTTATTACAGCAAGTTTTTTTTTTTTAAAGCTTCATATAAGTATCTGGGGTTCTCTATACCACTCTGCCCTGTCTGCCTACATTTTTTTGTGCTGACCCTGTACTTTTAGAATTTGACAGAACTGAAAGGGTATCCACTTGAAATCTCCCTGAGCCACTGTGCCTTGCCCGTCTCTCAGGCCCTTTGCAGACAGAGGAGGTGGAGGTGGTTTGTTTATCCCCGTATATTGCCTTGCTTGCTGGACACATTTAACCATTTATAATGATTACCCGGCAAGCCTCTACTCACAGTCAGACTGTTCCAGCTCAGCACTTTGCAGTTTCGTACAGAACAGCAAAGAAGCTACAAAGAAAACTATAATGGAAGCAGCAGGTAATTTATTTCCTGCCGCAGTGTCCTGTGAAGACTGGCCCCCTTGGGGTGTGCTAGGAATTAAAATGCTAGCTTGGAAATTTTACTGACAGCTGTCATTCACCTTTTGATCCTAGCTGTTCCAATGCCAGTACCTGTACTTTTAGGAGGAAGGTGTCGTCTTAGTGAACGTGGCATCTGCAAAACTGGCTGTCAGTGCCCAGGGTACTTGCACGCTATACTGGGCAAGTTCCCTCTCATAGATGGCTGACCATCTTAAGTACTGCATTGAAGAAAATGTGATACGACGCAAAAATTATTTACTTGTTACGTGTCAAGAGTCATTGGATGTTGAATCTACTCCTTCCTAGAAAGCAGAATACTTTTTATCAGTTATTGATTCCTTTCTCCTCTGTTATGCCCCTTTTTGTAAATGTTCCTTTCATTCAGTCTTCCACCCTTTCCTGAATTTCAATTTCTTGTCACAATTTACTGTTACTACCTTGTAGCATCCAAAGCAAATGACACTTAAAGCCCAGCTGTGTTTCTGTCTCAAGAAGTAATATTTTGTATAGGTATTAAGGACCTCAAGCCTGTCATCTCAGAGTCCTTGTCTGGCTTCTCAGGCTTGCATCAAAATGATGTGTACTAGGAGAGCCACAGGTGAATGGGTCTGTTTTCAAACATGAATTGTGCATTCTTTCTCTTACCGAACCTAGAATTCTAATGTATTTCCTGCAACACAGAAGAGCTTTGTGTTATCATCTCCAAGATAGTTATTCTGTGTACAAGACTGAGACTCCAATCAGGCTTGCTTTCATTTGTCTTTAATAGAGGATCCATAAGATTGTTCAGTAAGGCAGCTGCTTGCTATTGTAAGGTTCTAGCTTGGTGTATCACATCTCCCTCCAGAAGCTGACTTCTGTAGAAACCATCTCAGATGGCATGGATGTATGCTTTTGATTCTAAAGGTTTTGAATTAATCACCTGCTGATAATTCATGGTGGGAAGTCATTACGCTAATTAGCTACTGGGTTTGATGATTCTTTTCCATTTGCTATTGCAGGAAGTGCTCCCACCTGCCTAAGCCTGGGCTTCACAGAGATGATAAATAGGCAAGAAGGGTGAGGGAGAAGGCTGCAAACTTCTTCAAATCCTGCTTGGTCTGACAGAAGTTAAAGCAGCAGCTGCAAATTGTTAACTGTTGGCAACATGACAGGCAGACAGTGCGCTGCTACATTTGTAGAAATGTGATTCAGCATCCTCTCCTCTTCGTGATGTTATCTGCTTAATGCCTTGCTATCATGAATATGAGCTTTCTACACAGTGGTCCCATTTGCCATGGGGAGGAATTGCCGCAGAGGCTGATGAAAGATATGCATTAAAGTGTAGGGGTTTTTTAGCACATATGATCACACACTTACCATAAACACTTATCTGAAAAATTAAGACATTTGTGAGTGTTTTGGAGAGACAATTTCTAAAGTTCTTTACTCATCAACTTAAATCTGTGAGGAGTTAAAAATCAGCTCAGCAACCTCAGTTACTGCAGTGGTTATGAAAGGGTCAGCTTTGTAGGAGCTGCCTGAGGAGGAGATGAGCCAGTGTCTTCCTTAGTCAGAGCCCTGTCTCCTCTATTGCTGATAACCTTTCTAGCAGGGATGGCAGCTGAGGTTAAACTGGCCAGCTGAAAGTGACATCTATCATGCTCACATTCAGCTTCCTATGCACAAACTCAGCTTCTGTTTCAATACGAACAAAGGGTTATTTTAATTTAGTATGGACAATTTGGAAATCTGCTGTCGAGAGCACTTGATGAGCACTGGGGGCTGATCCATTTCTTAGGTCTTGTGCACTAGTAGTGGGATGGAGGCATACATTGGAAAAAAATCTAGATATCCCACAAGAGGGAGCAGCCTCCAGCAGGATTTCTTTTTTCTTCTGGAATTAAGAGTATTGAAAGGTCTACATTTGAAGACTAGAGGGCAGACATTGAAAGGACATGCATTTCATATGCAGCCAGCCTCTGGACTCCAAGGGTTGAATTTTCAAGAAAATGTAAATTGATGTTGCTCTATTTTCTTTCAGTAGAGAAAGATTGAGAATTTATCTTAGCTGAGAATTTCTCCCTCAATATTTGCTTCTCAAAAAAAAAAAAAAAAACAAACTGTCAGGCAGTAGTTGAAAACAAAATAATAGCCTGTATTTTGTGAGGCCGGTAAAATATAATGATGCTGATCCCCTTACTGACGCTGACACTGCGTTAAATGTCTCAGAGTAGCGCAGACTTGAAGCAATAGGAGTCTTCTCTTCTGTTTTCTGAGTGCAGTTTGAGCTGTTGCAGTTCAGTTTTCCCATTCCTGTTTGTGGAACGAGTTCAGGTTCATCTTGAGGACTGCTTATTAGTCCTCTTCCCCTGCCATGTGGAAGATAGCTAATGGTGCTTTCCAAGGCCAGAAGATGCTGCTATCTAGAGCAGCTGCTCTCTGTGAGGTTTGCCTGACAGGGCTTCTTTTATCGCTAGGAAAGTATTTCCTCAAACTGTGTATCTGTGGATTCAAACTGCAAAAAGCTGCAGGCTTCCAGATTCCCGTTTCAGATTTTTTTTTTTTTTCTATGTAAACTCTGTTTTCACCTCTTCAGTCTTTGGTGGATAGACAGGAGGGCTCTAGGCACATCCAGCTTATCCTAGACAGTCCATCCCTCTGAAAAAGGTTTTGTTAGCAGTTGTTTCAGGACGACCATACACACCTATTCCTGCAGCAGCAACTGGTCTGTTTCCAGGGAGTGGGCTACTCATGCTATGAGACAGAGGTGTGACTTTGAGGAGGATGTGAGTGAGGATTTCTTTGCCCAGGTTGCCTTTGCTCCAGGTGGAAGACTTGGTATGTCATGCACTGGTCACCAGCATTATTCACAGGCCTTGGAGTGGGAAAGCCACCACCATTCTGGTCTGCAGATAATTTTCTTTTTGCATCTTAATTGGATGGGCTTGTTGTTGCACAGAGGGCATTAATATCTTCCTTTTTATATCCCCATTCTGTTCCTTCCACTTCTTTGAGTACTGCCCAAAGCACAGGACATTTCTTTGCTTCTCCTCTGGTCTTTAGGCTGTGTATCCATTTCTTACAAAGTGTGTCTGAAAAAAGGATACCACTGGACTCCTTATAGTATCCTCAGTGAATAAATACCTGCCACCTGCACTGACAGCAAATACGGAACCTTGTTACAGAAAGGTAAAAAGAAGTGTTACTGGAGAGTTCGTAGGGCAGGGTTTTTCTGCCAAAGGTACACAGGAGGGACAGTTGGCAATCTTCTTCAGGGGACGTGAGTGTGAACCAACTGCCAGTGTGGAAGCACAGACATTTACCTGAAGCTCTCAGCTGTTGCCTGGCTTAGTGACTTTCCTTTCAGAGCTATGCCTGTGTGACTTACACTCTGGGTTGGTACTCTGTGTACCGGTACCATTAGAATGCTGTTTCCTCCTCTCAAGTCCCTGCTGGCAAAGTGAACACCTCCTCAGCAGTGGCCTTCCTCTCCACCAGCTCAACGTGGGTAAGACTTTTTCCCCTTTACAGCAAGTGACCTCTCTGCCGTTAGCCAAGTGTATATCATGAAAGATAAAATGTGTGGACTGTTGCAACATCATAAGGCTCTTTCTGGCTGGGAAGGGAAATTTGGGAATAAGAACACTACCTCCATAGCATACTTGCTCCCTTTAGGGAGCTTGTGGGTTGCAAGTAGTCAGGACTAAAAATTGGCCTTTTCTTCTTCAAGGCGCTAACATCCGGGTTTCACGGTTGCTTGTGAGTTGCTTTACTTCTTAAATTCCCTCATGCCCTTTTTCTTGGATGTCAAGGGCTATTGAATGTCACAGATAATAGCTGAGGAAGAGGAAATATTCGTACTAAAACCGCTATTGCTGAATTGGTATTTCGTCCTAAAACTTCGGCAAGTAAGGTTGTGTTTTACAAGGGGAGCTGTTCAGAGCCATACTTCAAGAACTTAGCCCTGATTGAACAGGCTAAGTTTGGGGCAGTGGTGGTGAGAGGGGTTCTTTTGTGATTCTGTCCTGTATTCTGAACCTTTCTTACTAATGCTGTTAGTACTAGTGTCTGTCCATCTGTCTGCATCAGTCCATGAACTGACTGTCTTCTCATTCTTCTGAGGTATGGTTACTGCACTGTACAGTAGGGATGGGAGAATGCTTTCTTGAGCTATAATGTGTTTTGTACAGGAACTCATGGAAAATGAAGTAGAATTTGGAATTTAATTTTGTAATAAATAGCTCTTCTTTCAAACACTCTTTGAGTCTAGATCTTGTTGGGGTTTTGTTCTCTTTCTTTTCTTTCTCCTCCTCACACACACACACCCAAAATAGCAACATGAACTTTAAATGGACCCGTTGAAGAGTTTGATTGTGCCACTGGTCATCTACACAACAGAAGCCATGGCCAGTATCAACTTTTAGCCTACAAATGTTGCTGGACTGCAGTTCCAGGAGACCATATTTTACATAGTGCAAGAGATGTGTTGGTAAGCACAGTGGGAAATGAAACTGGCACATTTGGAGGACAATAAAGTGCTATCTGCGGGGTTTATTCATGTTAAAGCTGTATTAAATGTAGATATGCATAATGTGTCATGCTTGTTGGGTATATTCATCATGCTTCTGGTAGGTTGCCTATAGGCATTTGAATTGACAGACCGAGCCCAACATTTGTGATGTGTATTTTGAGTGTGTTCTGTGCGTAACATCAAACTGATGCACAGCTTATGTACTGTGCGTAACATCAAACTGATGCACGGTTTTATGCAAGTGAGGCCCTTGCTTTGAACTAAATACAAAATTCTGTGAATAAAAGTGGCAATGCTATGAATCAGAATCTGGTTCCACCCCAGGCTGTTACGACAGGGCAATGTATGCTATGAGTATAGTAACGGAGTTGCTGACGCTGGGGTGGAGCTAGAAGGAAAAAATATATAGCCTTCCTATCTGTGGCTATCCTAGTTATGAAACACGCCCAGATCAACGTTGGACGAGAGTCAGTCAGTCTATTTAGACATCTCCCAAGGGCTGTTGGTGTGGAGCTAGCCAGGACAGCTGGAAACTGGACTGTGGCCTGCGCAAGGTGATTAAAATAGGCTAATAACCCTTACTGAAAAGCCTACTGATATCTTACATTGCTTCAAAAAGTGCAAGTTGGTATTTGGATGCTGTCTGGTTAGGACCATCTTTCTGGAAGGAAGGACTGCTGATGGAGCCATTCTAGAGTGCAGGGAGAAGACTGTAAGGAAAAGCCAAGAAGTATTGTTCAGAACATGCTGATAACAGCTGAAGTAAAACTTTACTTCTCCCTGCCCTCTAAATGAAGAATGACTTCTTTCTCCAGGTAAGTGAGGTCTAGTGTGAATGGGCACTGATGATTGATTCCCTTTGCAAAATGTGGTATATGTGGTTTTCTTCATTTCTTGTTTTGTATCTGTCTGATTTCTAGATTTCTAAATTCCAGCCATTGTCCCATTACACGTTCCTCAAGAAGACCAAAGCTCTTTCATAACCTGGTATTTTCTCTTCATATAGATTTTGTGCGCTGTCTTCAAGCTCTGCTTAATCTTCTTCTTGCTAGCCAACTAGAACCTTTCACAGCAAGGTGCTTTCTGTAGTCCTCAAATTTCTAGTGCCTCTTTTCTCGTTTTCTTCAGTTTACCCATCTGCTTTCCCAAACTATGTACTGTCTTCCAGCATCAGTCTCATCCCCAGTTCCATGTGCCGAAATAGATCCTCATTACTCTTAGAACTTCTTCCTGGTGTACATCCAACGATTGTGATATACTTTGTAATGTTTTTCTAACAGACAGCCTCTAACTCTGTAGCTCTGACCCATGTAATGTATGCTCTGGGAATGTAAAGTTTGTAGGCATAGTCTACTAAGTCTACTAAGTGTTGCAATTGCTGTAAATTGTGAAGTAGAGAAAGAAACTAGCCAACATTCTTCTGACAAATGGAGAGGAATTCTTTGAGATGAGAACGTGACAGTGAGTGAAATGGTACATTCCCTTCTTAAAACTTACAATCTTTGTGAGAATAGTCAAATAAAGCCAGTGCAGCTGAAGAAAGTGAACTTAAACAATTTAATAACTTCCAGGTAAAATCCCATGGGAAGCGAGTCTGAAGAGAGGTATTTAAATGAAGGATAAGAGCATGAGAACCAACTATCCCAGTGCAAAGCAAGGCCAGGAATAGCAAGAAGTCAAAGATCAGAAGTTAAATAACAAGTTCTTAATTGACCTCAAACACAAAAGAGAAGCATAAAGAAAGTGGAGACTGTCAAATTACTAAGAGTTACTATGAAATACTAATGCAGGGGGAAAAAAAACCCAAAAAACTGCCTCACAAAGTAAGGTACACGTAATGAGGAACATCAAAGATAGTGAAAACTGTCAGGATACGAGCAGTAAGAGACACAGCAAGAATTAGTCCACTCTTTAGCAGAGATGGAAAGGTATTGATTGATGGATCACTCTGAGAAGTTGTATAGCCATCTTCAGATGTTTTCATAGTAAGCTCCCTTGCTGGGCTTTTCCATTTTGTCCATGCAGTTTTTTACCAGGCAAGTACGTTTCTTTCATCCTGCTTGGCCTTTTTGAGTATTGACGTATTTTTATTTTCTAAAATTCTGCTGAAACTTCTGGATATGCCAAAGATTATTTAAAAAATAATAGCAATATAAGTAGGTTGGATATCTCCTCAGGCAGCTCTTGTAGGACTAATGGGTGCAAGCTATCTGTGCCTGCTGATTTTAAAAGTCTTTATTTCTAATAGATGCTGTTTAACATCCTATTTAATTACTAATGGATTGAAAGGTGCTTTATGATGTGATGTCATTCTCTTCAGGACAGAACCAAAATATTTGTTCAGTGCTTATGTATTTTGACTCTGGAGTTGACAGGTACAAAACTTCATTGAGTTGGAGAATATTTTTGGCAGAGCCCAAAAATTGGAATGGCTTAGATGGGTAAGGTGGAGAAGGCCCCGAGCGGAAAAGGACCCCATACATAGAAACAATAACACATAGCGTTTGATTTGAAAGCAAGTGGCTGAATGCAAAGCTGAGTGGTTATGATGCTAGCACAGCTTTGCTATGAAGGAATGGGTGCGGTTAGATACAAAATGTTTGTTTCAGTAGATCACAGCAAAGACACTATTCTCAGAGACAACTGCTGTAGGTCAAGTGATTGTAGGAGTCACTCGGGTATCAATTCCAGTTGCAAGAAGGAAGGAAATGGCAGACAGAGTCGAGATCAGAGAAAAAACAATCAGTGAGCGCTTCACAGAGCAGCAGTGACAGCGCTTTTGAAATGAGACAACGCTAGTGGGGAAACTATAGAGGAGGTTCCTCGGGGAAAGCAATGCTTTCCCAGGGAAAGCATCCTTTCTCTAAGCTTTTGTCGTGGTATTTCAGCAGCTGAAGAATGACCTGGTCCAGAAGTATAAGAATAGCCAGAGGGTGATCCAAGCCCATGTGAATCATCCCTCGGTAGGACAGAAGTGGGGTAACTGTGCTGACACAGTGCGCAGCAGGTTGCAAGGCTCTATTAGCTAGAGCACGGCATTGGGCTAATAAGGCTGGAGAGCTTTGGAACTGCAGCTGCCTTGCATCCTACCAGCTTTGAGTGCAGGTCCGTCTGTGCCCACCTCTGTAGTTGTGTCTTAGTCTCAACATACAAGCTGAATTTGATCGTATTTGTGGTAAAGTGACTTTTTAAGTCACTTTGGTAGAATGACTTAAAAAGGGACTTCAGAGATTGCTTCCTGAAAGATCACAGTCTGGCTAGGGTAGCAGTAGCAATCAGTTGATAGCTGCTGTACTAAAGGGAGCATGAGGTGAATAAAAACCTAGGTAAGGTCTGTACACCTCTAAGTGCCTGGCCTGATCCAACAACTGCTCTCCTCATGTCAAAAATACTCAGCCTGTTGGCCCTCTGTGTGGTCCCCTTTGGATTCTCCAGCTGGTTCATGTATTGTCATGCTTTGTACAGACAGGTGAAAACAACCCAAACGTTTTTCCCCAGTCAGGCCCTGGGAGATCTAAGAAGAACTTGGGGATGTTTAGTAGCAAAAAGAAGTCAAAAGGCATGTTTTCCCTTTTTATTCTGCATTTGAATTCTCTCCCACACATTTTTCCTTCTCCTTCTGCTTATCCTTCTCCCTGTAGCCCAAATCTTCAAGGCTGGTAGTGCTGCCCTGCTCTCCCCATAGGCACAATGGCAGTCAGTGAGCTCTGCAGCTGTTGCCTTAATCATTTTATGCTTCATGTTATGCAACTGTGTTTTGTGATTTGCTTCGCTACTGAGCTGTGCAGCATTGCATCCTGAGGGGGTAGCTTAGAAACTGGTGGGAATGTTGCCTGAGGTCTGTTCCCACCTGAGGATGGGGGCAGGGGAGTACAGGGAGAAGAGGAGCTCTCATGGTCTGCAGTTTCTAACAAACGGAGACTGGAGGCAAGGGGGAGAAAGGGATGAGCCAAGCTCAGGAAGCTGGCCCCAAGGTGAGAAGGGAGCGTGATGTAGCTAGATCAGAGTGGCATTATTCATGAGGACTTGCAGAAGTAGAACTGGAAATGAACAAGAATCCACGGGGAGATTAGTTTTTGTTAGTATAGCAAGTGAGATGAAAACTGACAGTGTCACAGCAGCATGGGCAAAACAGTCCTCCCTAGGCCAGGCTGATGTGATGCCCACTGGGAGGGAATTATGTACGCCGACTGCCCTGAACCCTGTGTGCAGGGTTGGGGAATGGTGTTTGTGGGGTTATTCCCAATTCTATTATTCTGTGCTGTGAAATTGGAAAAGTTTATTTCCCAGTGGGTAAACTGAGGTGCTGAATAAGCAAAGCACACACTTGGCAAGGGGAGTTGAGTGTTGTTGAAAATGTAATTTGAAGGGGCTGTAGATTAGAATAATTAGAGCTTCTGCCAGGTAACATTATACATTTATTTTCTTCTAAATCTTTATTATCTTTCTTTCTTTCTTTGCTGGTCATTGAGCTTCACTGGCAATCTACCTTCCCTGTCTCCAAATGGCCTAAAGATGATTTTGGAACAGTCTGTGCTGGTGACCTGGTTCCTCTTTGCTCCTGACAGCTCCAGGGAAAGTCTTGCAGAAATCCAAGAATACTTCAGAAAAGAACTGAGCTACCGGGCTAGATATGTGGAGCCAGAGGAGTTGGAGACCACTGAGGGAAACCAACAGACTATGGAAGCTTTCACAGTGCCCAACTCCTTGATGCATCCTGGATGCT